CCACGGGCCGCAACAGCCACCTCCTCCGCGGACCCAAGGGTCTCCAGCCCCGGAGGAGCCCAGTTCTGCTTTTTATAAGCGGGGAAACTGAGGCACGGGGAAGGGAGGGGAGTCCGGCAGCGCCGCACAAAGCACAAGACAAAGACCCTGGATCTGACGCCCGGTTCCTCCCGTCCCCCCGGGGCACCGGGGGCTGCGGTCGGGCTTTACCTCCCACATGAGGTTGTTGTTCTTGCACAGGTCCACGTGCTCCGGCGAGATGACCCGGCCCGTGAAAGGTCCCATCTCGGTGCCAGCCTTGATCCAGGTCTTGGAGAAGATGCCCAGCCCTTCCCCGGGGATGGAGCTTTGCGCAATGATCACTTCCGACGGCAGCACCAGGCTGGACAATTTCTGCACCTCTGTGGGCGTCAGGGAGAGGGTTTGGAAAAGGGACCCACCGGCTTCCTACCCCCCTTGCACCTCATCCTCTCCCTCACCAACCGCTCCCGGACACCAGGGTCCCCCCCAGCCTCCCTCAGCTCCAGGTCGGGGCCGCTCCGCCGGGATGGGGAGGGAAGGGCGCGAATGGGGGAGTCGGGGGGGGCAGGAGCCCATCGGGACCCCCTTGTTGGCACCTACAAAGTGCTGCTTTGTGGCGGGCGGCAGCCCCAGCCCCGTCCCAGGTCTGAGCCTTTTAAATGCCCAACTGGGATCCTACAATGTCTTACAAGATTCCCCTCCAAGGCATTGAGGAGGTACCTGGGAAAAGCAGCCCGGGCTGGGCGAGGGAGCGGGGCTGAGAAAGGGGGTTAAATGGTGTCTATTTCGGCCCATCCAGCAATTTGTCATGCTGTTAAAGTGATCTGCATTCATTAAACTCAACTAGAAAGAAATTGCTAATTCTAAATTCATTAGTCCTTTAAGAATGCTGTAGCGATACATTGTGCCTGAATGGTGCGAGGGCTTGTTTAAAAGGGCCCAGGAATTCCTCTTACAAAATGGGGAGATGAGATGGTTGACATATTGTGAATGGAAATGGAATTAGCCTTCATGGTAAATTAAGAGAGGAACAGAAATCCGAGAAGGGGAAAAGGGAGCCGGGACGCCCCGGCGATGCCGGGGCGAGAGAAAAGATATTGTCCCGGGCTGCTGAATGCCAGATGAGGCCCGGGGACGTCTCGGAGAAAAGCAGCGGCCCCGGCCCCCGCCTCTGCCCCCTCTTAAGCCCGCGGTTTAAGTGGGAACTTTCTCAGGTCAAGCCCAAGTTAACTAAATGAATTTAAAGCCCTTCTTGCCCAGTCAACTGCTATTACACGCCTGGCGAGAGCGGGCGCGGGGCGACGGCGGGACTCACCTCCGGAGAAGGACTGCGCCAGGACCTCGGCCGTGAAGGCGGTTTTGGGGCTGCTCTTCTCCTCGAAGAGCTGCTCGCCCAGGACGTTCCTCCAGCGGCCGTAGAGGAAGCTGTGCAGGATGCAG